TGATGAGAGTCATGCAAATGATCTGACGTCATCCTGGTTGTCCTTCATCCTCGTTCCTTGGTTGGTTTCTTGACCTCGTTCTGACCCCTCATTTGGTGATCTTGTCGCCAGGCAGATTTTGAATTCTCAGTACAACATATCCTGACCTTTCAATAGACATTACCCTCCTACATACGTCTTTATAAACTGTTAGTTGTTGTCTGCAGATTCAGGAAGAGCGCCAGCGTTGCTATGAGACCTGGTCTACTTCCTGTTCTGTGGTTTCCTGTCTACTCTTACAGCCTTATACATGTCTCCTACACTCTTTACGGCAAATGAAATGGTTAACACAAGTAAATCATAAAGCATATGATACTATTACAATGCATACGAAAATAAACATGTAGACATATTTGCTAATGCAGATTATAATGTCAATCCTAGAATTTCATATGTTGATAAATGTTGATAATCTGAAGCCAAGACAATCAGACCTTACACACACACACTATTCTTGTGCAGACAGTTTAGTCATCTCAGTATGTATCTGCAAGACTTCCTGTTGCTCTGAGCCTCTCGAGTCGGTCAGCGTCTTCCCCAGCCGGCTGGGTCCCCAAAAAGTACATCGTCTATTGTTCACTGCAGCATGGTCCTTCTCCTCTCTCTCTCTCCCAGGTTCCCCATTTTATTAGCAGCCTCCCTTATGCTGTTGTGTCTATTTCTGAACCTAGCTTCCTGTCTCCAGTTTCGGGAGACAACACCCTGAGATGTACTTCGAAAACAGGAAACATCTTGTTCCTGACCACTTACATAAGCCCATTGTCCAACTCACATGTACTTAATGAACCCATAACCACTCAGCTCAAATAAGTACAAATAATGTCTATATGTGAAGTACATACTGTTCTATTACATATTTCTTCTGGAATCTGATTTACTGCTAACCACTACACCATGTTGGCTGTTAAGTTACACAAATCATTGAAATGGTGACCTTTATCAGCTAATAATTATAAAATTAATGTTTAAGCAACCCACAAAATTTATTTATTGCTGATGAACCTTTAACTATAATTGATATCTTGGCTGATCTCATGTGAAAATCATAATCTCATGATATTCACTTCAGATCAGCCAAGGAATTAAACAGTATGCCATTATTTTCCACTATAATATGATATCTTTACTTTTCTATTGGGTCCCATGAACGTCCTCTATGCTGTATAGTGTTTTTAGTGTCCCATCCCAAGACTGTCACCGTCATCTCCTACCCCCCACTAATATTTTCTGCAGGATTCACTACATGATAATATCCGGATCCAAAAATCTTATTTCCCTTCACTTTTCTTCACTTTTTTCCAGTCTTTTAATTTTGGGTTTCTCTTATTTAGTCTTGTTCCCTATCTCATGAAAACTGGGCAGAAACGTTTCAGTGGGAAGGTTTTGGTAGTGAATCAAAATAAAGACGTCAGGCCTGTTTTGCAGTTGAAATATAAACACATCCACCCACAGCCCAAAGCTCTGAGGGTCACATGATTCTCGATAAACCCAGGTAGGAGCATCAAGCCAAGGAGCAGCGGGCTGTATGGCGTTGTACTTCCGACTGCTTCAAAATAAAAGCTCTGAGTATCAGCTGTACTACAAAGATACCTAGGCCATGTCACTGCGTGGTCGCTAGGTGGCAGG